TTACCAAGTTCGTCAAGTCACAAAGAATCAGTTGGTTGGGACATGTGGAAAGAATGGAAGCAAACAGAATGCCCAAACTGGTACTAACCAGAAAACTAATCGGCCCCAAAAGAAGAGGTAGACCCAGAACGAGGTGGATTAATAAAGTGGAGGAAGACTTAAACACGTGAAGGTGAGGGACTGGAAAAGAAAAGCACAAAATAGAAGCGAATGGAGAAATATTGTCCACCAGGTTCTTCAGAGTAGTTAAGAATATTGTATATACATATATAAGTTAAAGTTTTGTTTAAAATAGTTGTAATTAGTTAATATTAGAATTATGTTTACAAGAATTGCCCTAGGCCTTAACTGTCTGTTGTGCGTAAAAATAAATAAATAACCACCCTTGGTCCATTATGCAACTGACAGTTGAGGCTCCTAAGTAACAGAGTCGGCAATCTTCACTTTTTACCAAAAATTGAGTTAGTTACATCAAAATATCTAAAGATTAGGTTTAAGAGCAGATGCGGATTCAGATTTTCATATTATTTTTATTGATTTATTTTATTATTAAAATATTTTACTATCAACCCGTTCAAGCCTTTACCTTTTGCGTATGGAGGTTTATGCAGGAAAATATGAAGGCAGCACACCAACATCTAGGAGTCCACAGGGAATATTAAAAAGATTGCTGTCTCCGATTCGAAACTCTAGACGTAACGTAACGACGGACAGATATTACACGGCCGTAGAGCTTTCTACAAAGATTTCGGTCTGACTTTAATTGACACTATCCAAGAAAATCGCAATCATATATCGGAAGTACTTAAGAAACCATAACAGAAAATAGAAGAAAACAAATATGTTTGCATTTTCAGATCCAAAGTCCGGAAACTCACCAGTTACTCTTCTTTCTTAATGTAACACGTCAGACCCCACAAAGATACTTCGAAGCCTATAATGATACTAAAGGAAGTGTTGAGACTTTAGACCATATGGCGAAAAAATATACGTCGAAGTAATCGACATGAAGATGGCCACTCTCAGTTTTTTTTCCTTTATTGGATATTGCAGCCATCAATACGTACGAGCAATCTTCGTCCTTTGTTTCTAATAGGGACGATGCTATTCGTGTTGCAAATTAGCAAAATCTAAAAGAGAAAAAACAATAAGTTGGCAAAAACAACCATAGTTGTTCAAAATGCCAGAATGCAGTAAGCACAGTAAGAAATCAACTGTTTGTGTATCCTGCGACTATGCCAATTCAACTGAGTCGAAGACTCCAGGTAAATTATAAATTCTTATTTTTTTAACTGTGCCACTAATATCTAAGAATACTTTTTTATTTGTGAAAATGTTATTTTTAATTTATATTTAAAAAATAAGTAGGTTGTTGATTAATATATACGTGGACATTTATTGATCCCCTTGGTCCTCGCTGTTTCTAATAAAAGGTTCTGCAAGGGTTAAAAGAAAGAAGACAACGAAAGCATGTTGCAGAAGCGATAATAAGTACTATATTTCTTGGAAGTAAACCGATATTGCGATTTTCTACGCAAAATATTCGTAAACCGTGTCTACTATCAATACTAATAAACTAAAAAGCCACATCTTCTTTGTAATAATTTTTAAGGGCATTTGTGAAAATAACTCATATCTTATTTAGTGTCTGTCGATATATAATATATAGATATTATCTAGAGTTTTAATTTAACTTGTGTTCCCATCCACTCACCCCACTGAACACTATATATTTACATTCAATTAAAGTTCGTCAGCGGGAGATTAGCCACAACATTGCCGTAATACACTATTGAAGCCGTTCGCATGGCCGTATATAGGTACTTGTAGATGACTCTGCATATACATGTATATATCATGCATATCTGATTATTGAATGGCTTTCTCTCTGCATTTGAATTTGAATAAGATCCATTCCATTGTTCGCGCCGTGGAGAATCGCGGAATTAAAGGGAAATTTTTCCTCATGGGCGGTTTTAGTCTTTTTATCTATAAATCATTGCACAAAAAATAAAATTGTGTGGCTGGTGTATGTTATCAGATTTAAAGTGTTTAATTTTGTATACTTGATCGTCTATAGAAATAGTAAAACGTTTAGAACACGGAAATGCAAAAATACTGAAATCGAAACAATGTGTATGAAATCGAAACAAGTATGAAATAAAGTCAGAAAATTCCAAGAAATTTGGTTTCGGAAATCTACGTTTATCTATTTTTTATTAAATGAAGTCGTTTTTACAATACTTTTGTAGGCTAGATTAATCAAATTTACAGCTTGCTTTCATATATTTTATGGACTTGTTCTTCCTCATTTGCATAACCACAGATCATGCAATGTAGCATTAGGTGCAAATAGTAAGTCAAGATAACCCCGTTGACTATGCTTCGAGGACCTTAAATAGATCTGAGCCAAGTTATAGTACCATAGAAAAGAGCTTCTTGCTAATGTATGGGCAAGCAAGTATTTTAGGCCCTATTTATTTGGTGAAAGTTTGAAAACATTGTCAGATCATAAGCCTTTGCAACGGCTTATGCCACTTAAAGAACCAAACTCGCGCTTAGTAAGATGGCGCTTAAAACTTGAAGAACTTGATCATAATAAATCACAAAATCGAATATAAAAAAAGCAACTGTAATGCAAATGTAGATTCTCTATCTGAATTGCAATTCATTGTAACGAATTCATTAAACACAGGGAAAAATGCAATGATAAATTCACAGAAATTATTGATGACGACAATGCTTCGATGATGGAAAATGTTGAAGAAAATTACACTGAAGGAAACGTAAAGAAAATAAAGAAGAAGAAAATGAATATGTTAAGGAAAGTGACGATGATAGAGAAACCATTCATACGAGTAGTGAAGACCCGATACTAGGCATGCAAATTTCCGAAAAAACCATTAATTGTTTTGATCTTCAAATTGTAATTGATTTTGTTTAACACTCAGCTGCGCAGCCGAAAGTTGAAAAACTATTTTCTAGTAGCAAGAGTTGAAGAATTGGAAGAAAAACATGACCACTTTAACATACATAAACTCATTAAAGAAGTGACAGGTCATACAAAACCTAGCAGTTTTAACAGTATTGTGAAAGACAATAAATTAATTATTGATCCGAAGGATCTACTTCAACATTGGAGAAACTACACACAGCAACTATACTCAGACAACACTAGAACAGCAACTATACTCAGACAACACTAGAAAAAACTCTGAAAGTGAATATAAAAGTAAACCCTCCCCCAAAATATTGAGGACAGAAGCTGTAAGGGCAATCAAACAGAGCAAATGGGGAAAAGCACCAGGCCCAGACGACATATACATAGAGATTCTAACAATGTTGAGTGAAGACAATATGGACGCCTTTTTAGATTTTTTAATGACATTTATGGGTCCGTTCAAATATAACAGGATTGGCTTCAATTAACCTTTATACCAATCCCAAAAAAGACAAACGCTAATTGTTCCGAAAACCAATTCCGAATGATCAGCTTATTGAGCCAGGTCCTAAAACTCTTCTTGAAGAAAATTCACACAAGAATATACAACAGGTGTGAAAGAGACATTGGCCCCACACAGTTCGGTTTCAGACCAGGATTTGGCACAAGAGAAGCACTTTATAGTTTAACTGTCCTACTTCAGAAATGCAGAAAACAGCAAAAAGGTGTCTTCCTATGATTTATAGATTACCAGAAAGCGTTCGATTGTGTTAATGATTCAGCAGTAGTAAGATTGCTCCATGAACGTTCGATAGATGAGAATGACTTTAAAATCATAAAGAACCTTTATATGAGTCAAGTGGCATCTCCTTTTTAATCTTTACTCTGAAACGCTGTTCGATAGAGACTTAAGTGATACTGAAGATGGAATCAAAATCAACGGACAGAATTTTAGTAATCTTCGCTATGCTGATGATACAGTCACTATAGCTGATAGCCAAGAAGCGCTACAATGACTAATAGATAGAATAAACACTGAATGAGAACGATTGGGCTTGAAGATTAATATAGACAAGGAGAAAGGTAATGGTAGTTAGTAGAACGCGAAATGTGCAATTAAATATATGAGTAAACAATAAGAACATCCAAAAGGTACCTAAGTTCAGATATCTCGGTAATTGGATAACTGAAGATCTAGATCCAGACATAGAGATACGTAGCAGGATTGAACCAGCAAGAACAGCATTTACTAATATGAGATCCTTGCTAAGCAACAGCAGCCTTAACTAAACGTTTCGATATCGCTTTGTAAAATGTAACATTTACTCCATACTGCTATATGGTGCAGAAACCTGGACCATAAAGACCAATGTGATGAACTGGTTGGAGGCCTTTGAAATATGAGTATTTAAAAGACTACTTAAAATTCCCTGGAAAGATCACACAACAAATGTCGAAGTATTAAATCGAATGGGCAGAGAACGAGAATTGCGGCCAATAATAAAAAGAAGAAAAACTGCTTATCTAAGTTATATATTTCAAATATCAAAGTACCAGTTCTTAAAGCATAATATGGAAGGGAAGATAGAAGGAAAACGGGGCATCGGAAGAAAGAAATACTCATGGCTTAAAAACATAAGGGATTGGACAATCCTCGATGCCCATGCAGTCTTTAGAGCCACACAAGATCGAGAGGAGTATGCCCGAATTTTTGCCAACACCCACTAATTGGATAAGGCACCATAAGAAGAAGAATAGAAAGAGATTTTACATTCAAATTTCTCAAAGAAATATTAAAGAAGAAACCATTAGCATATTTAAAAACTATGTGGAACCCAAATACAAGTATGCTTTATATTTCAAAGATGAAACTTTTATACCATGAGTATTGAAAGTTTTGAAAAATACTTTCAAAAAGTCTGGTTTTAACCTTTGTGTAAGAAAGTCGAAATATATATTTTAATTCTTGTAATGCGAAGTTTTATTAGTACGAAATAATTTTTATTGAACTAAATATTTTTAAAAACAGTCCCTAACGACAGAAACCGATTAGTCAATATCATCGTATACCAGAAAATTTTTATTTGAATACAAAAATTGTTATATAAATATAGTTAATTAAAATAATGGAATTTAAAAACAGTAGTGATTTGCACTAGACACAAGGGTTCCTAAAATTTTTTCCTGCATATGTGGCAGAAACACACAGTTCTTCTTCAATGCGTAGCAATTGATTATATTTAGCTAAACGTTCTGATCTACAGGGAGCGCCAGTTTTGATTTGTCCAGTGGATAAACCCACAACAAGATCAGCGATGAACGTATCTTCGGTTTCTCCCGATCTGTGAGATACCATAGTGCCCCAACCGTTTGATTTTGCTAGTTTGTGTGCCTCGATGGATTCAGTTACTGTTCCTATTTGATTTACTTTTAGTAAGAGACAGTTGCAGGCTTTTGCGTCTACGGCCATTTGGATTCTCTTTGGATTAGTGACAGTGAGGTCGTCTCCTACAACCTGTATTTGAACACTTCCAGTCATTGATTTCCAAGCTTCAAAATCATCCTGATCGAAGGGATCTTCTATGGAAACTATAGGAAACTTTCCTATAAATGATTGATATATATTTAATAGTTCGTTACGGTTTATCCACTGGCTTTTATCAGAGTTGGGGTTCTTAAAATCAAGATCATAAAGACCATCTTTGTAAAATTCAGAAGCTGCTACATCCATGCCTATTTCTATTTTTCCAGTATAACCTGCTTTGTCTATGGCCGCTGTTATCAGTGATAAAGCATCTTCTGCACTAGGAATATTTGGAGCAAAGCCTCCTTCATCCCCAACTGCAGTAGCGTCGAGACCAAATTTGTCTTTGATAACTTTCTTAAGGTGGTGGTATACTTCGCTACCCATTCTCATAGCTTCAGAAAAAGAGGAAGCACCTGTTGGAAGTATCATAAATTCTTGCATGGCTAGTTTATTTCCAGCATGAGATCCACCATTAATAACATTAAAGGCAGGAACCGGTAGGATTATGGAGCGATTACCTGCTAGATGAGCAATATGCTTGTAAAGCGGAACTCCTTTTTTAGCGGCTCCAGCTTTGCAAATAGCAAGTGAAACACCTAAAATAGCATTCGCACCCAATTTTGATTTATTTTCTGTTCCATCCAATGCTATCATAAATTTATCAATTGTCTCCTGCTCTAAAACGTCAAAATCCTTTTCCAAAAGAGCAGGAGCTATTATATCGTTAATATTCTCAATTGCTTGAAAAACACTTTTACCATGGTAGAGGTTTTTAATTTCATCTCTAAGTTCAAGAGCCTCGTGGACACCTGTACTAGCTCCCGAAGGTACTGCAGCTCTAAATAAACCTAGATTTGTTTTAAGGTCTACTTCTACTGTTGGATTACCTCTTGAGTCAAAAATGCTTCTTGCAAAAATACTTTGTATATTTTTGTTTTCTCCGGATACCTTCTTTTGACATGACATATTTTTAGGATTACGATATTTGGTATTGATTTGATATTAGTATGGAAGTATTTAGAACCTTGCGAAATGATTACATTAATTTTGACACTTATTTGACATTAAAAGCTTATTAGACAATCAAAACTTTTATATAAAAAATTATACTGACAATCATTATTGACAGTTTACATTTAAAACTCATTAAATTTTCATGTACTAAGAGGATGCTTCATGTACTAAGAGGATGCTAACTTAATATACGTAGTTACCGCTAAAAGTTTGATTAAGGTCGAGGATTGTTACAATGGTAACTGTGGCCTAACAATAAAAGCTCAAGTTTTCAAATATCGTTTTATTTTACAATATATATATATATATATATATATATATATATATATATATATATATATATATATCTTTCAGTAATGTAAATTCAATTATAAAATAGAAAAAGAGTTTATTGAAAATGGCAATTCATCGAATGGTTTGAACAATATTAAAGTATTTTATTAATCCTAGAGCGAGAAGCAAAGGAAATCCACCTAAGTACTTATAGTATTATTAAAAATTTACGATCAGGAAACACGAAACATAAACATAAAATACATCTTAACCCTTTCCAGCCCAAATTATTTTTTTTGAGTAAATTTTGTTGAAAAAAAATTATGTTATAGAAAATGATACAAGAAAAAATAATTGTTGATAGCTTTTTCAAAAATTTTGCATCCTACAATCTGCAAACTTAAAAAAAAATTGATCCCATTTGGAATCATCTGGCATTGGTGGTACCTGAATTATGTCTGGTAAAAAATTGACTATAATAGGAAATACGTTTATTATTGCACTTTATTAACAATTTAATTTTGTACATGGAAACTATAAAAACAATTTTTATTATTGTTTAAACATAAAAAAAACATTGCACTTAGAACATTTTATTCTAGAGTAAGACTTTATACATAATTTGCACCTTGTGCGATTTTGATCATGTAGCGGCCAGTATCCTACTTCATCAAATCGAATATCTCGCACTGGTGCAGGATGCAGTAGTTGTCTCTTAGTTGGTGTATTCTCTTGAGAAGGACGTCCTCGCTTCCTTGTGTCGGATTTTCCAGCTTTTAGTAACGCATGTCCAACTTGAGATTTGAATTGGAGAAGGGGGATGTGTTTCACTTGTTTTTGTTTGCAGTGTCTTCGGTATAGCAACCAGGAGTTGACCATACATGTATCAATAAGATTAAATATTATTCTCAAATAGAATCTTCTTGGCTTGATTTTGATTCTATATAGTTCCACAAGCATGTCATGCAAATCCACACCCCCCATCGAAATGTTATATTCTTTGACAATTGCTGGCCGTTCGATGTCTACATAGGTTTTACTCTTGTTGCACCATCTGTTCACTTTACCAAGAGGATATTTTCCTATATAGTTCGGTGCTAATGTGACAGACTTATTGTCATACCATTTGAGAGCAGCAATATTTTTTTTGCTGTCTATTTTTACATCAGACGATCCACGACCTTTTGCCATTAGAACTTTGTCTGCTAAAAAACGACAACCTACCAGCCGCCCACTTCTTACAGTCGTCGCAGCAAGGAAGCTTCTTTCTTTCAGAGTAACAAGTAGATTATAAGATGTGAACCAATTATCAGTGAAAATCTTGAAATTCGTGTGGTTTGGCAGATTTCTGACCAACTTCAGTACTATTTCCCCACTAATTCCAAGACCTGATTCATCTTGCACTGTCCCTTTTCCCACATATATCTCAAAATCGTATAGTATGCCACTGCGTCCTGCTCTTGCAGAAAAACCTTTATGCCCCATTTATGAGATTTATTTTTTATATATTGCTTGAGGTTGCTATGTCCTTTGAATGGTATAATAAACTCATCGATGCTGTTGAATTCTTCAGGTTCTATCCCATTCACATTTTGCCGAACTTTTTCAATGAACGGTTTTACTTTATATAATTTGTCATTGTTACTAGGCGAGACTTTCAAATTATCGTTGACGTGAAGATATGATCGCAGTTTATCAAAACGATTACGTGACATGATATCAGCTATCGTATTATATCGTGTTTCTTCTGCCCAATACATTCTATACGAAGGAACACGAACAATTCCACTCAATACATGTATGCCTAAGAACTGCTCTATCTCTGCTGCATTTGTATCAATATTTTTACTGTCTTTTTGCACAGAATGCAAGTTTGTCTGCTCGCAAAATTTTGAATAATATTATTGTTACAAAACATTTTAAAATATTGAAAAGGTGTGTAAATATTTTCATCAACCGAAAATTCACCGGTGTACTCGCTGGTTACATCAATTAAATCGTTGTCTGTACAAGTTGGTTTTTCTGTGCTTTTGTTTTTCTTGGCATGACTTGTCTGTGGCTGTTGTGTAATTTCTTCAACATTTTTTTCTTCCAAATTCTCTGTAACTTGGGTGTTCAAGCTATCTTCAACAATATTTTCCAATAATTCTCCAATTTGAGTTTCATCAATCATTTCGTCTTCCAAAGCCTCTTCCTCATTATCAACATCGAATTCGATATCAGAATCATCAAGAAGACCAACTAGCTCTTCCTGGGACAAATTTTGCAATTCCCGAAAAGAAACTTTGGTTTTGTTATTTTTGAATAAACGATCCATCTTAAATGAAAAAATATATTGCACTTTTGTATTTTATTGACCGAAACAAAATTCACACCACTTCCCAATGATGCCATTTGGGGACCACCGCAATATCCCAATGATTCAATTTGGATTTATTGATATTTATAATGTTTACATAAACAATCTTGCAAATATGAGCAAACTATAATGAAAATTATCAAATAAAAACAATGTAAGAAACAAATATATTTTGTTCATGCAATTACTTGTTTAATTACTTACCTTAGTAATGATTTGAAATTTACAGTGAATTGTTAATAGATATGTCACTTCGAAGTTTTACATTCAAATGTGACTAACGCTTACCGATAGAACTGCCAAAGGTGAAGCAACGCAATGTCGTTCGCCCAACTGATATAAAGTAGTTTTCTATGTCACTAAAGCAGAAAACATTACCATGATCCCAAATGGGATCATCTGACTGGACAGGGTTAACTGTATCAATTCAGGAAATCTTTAGTACTCATCAAAAACTACAACTTCAAAAAGATATAAAAAGACGTGAATAAGTTTGAAAAATAAGTTTTTTATTTAATTTTTAAATAAAAATTTTTATTTAAAATAAGTTTAAATTTATTTTAATTCCTACTCTAATCTGTACATATGGATACAACACAGAATCACCAACGGCATATTCTAAAAAAAAGGAACTATAGTTTTCTATTCATTTTTATTTAATCTGATTTGTGAAAACATTTCCGTTAAAAAACCGCTCTATTCTGCGCACTAACTCGATCCGTACATGCCCTTCGGCTGTACAAAGCGTACGAGAGCTATAACAGCTATTAGCGTGTGAAAGTTTGCGGAAAAAATGCGAAGGAAACCTATCTACGACCGTGTTGTACAACGGCACAAATGTCTCACATTTTAGAGGAAATGTCACAAAAGGGGATATTTAGAAAACGACGAACTATTTCCGGATCTTGTTCCGTTAAAATTTATCCTCGAGGTAGGTGGAAGGTGTTTGGAGAGATTGTGAACGGTGTTTCTTATTTATCTCTTTCGGGTTCTTTCTTAGTATTAGAAGGAGGAAGTAGTCCAAAAAATGGAGTAAAGGGAAGATAGTTTTTAGAATTATTTAATGGAATAAAAAATAAAGAATAATAAACAACACCAATAAAAATCAAACTATAGAAATTAGGATAATAAAATCTCTTTAAAATTTCTATAAAAAAAATCACTAAGAATGATGAAAACATGAAAATACCAGCTAATAAATACAAAAAAATATAACGGACATTGAAAGTGATATAAAATTTATTCAACAAATAGTATTATACAATTATATCCACTTGATGTTCATTGAAAAGTTTAAATTTATCTTTAACGAAATAATGGAATACATAAAGGTGATTGTCAATTGAGCTACAATTAACAAATTATGATATAGAGATATTTTTTGGTGACAACACTAGTGTGCAGGATCTGTACCTACATATTATTAGATTTGGTGACAATCAAACCGCCTAATTTCAATATAAAAGTTAAAAAGACAAAATCAAGAAATCGAACGCAGAATGGATGTGATGAGACAGGCTTCTTAAAAAACTATTAGCAATCGTTATAAACGTTACATGTTACGACAAGTGCTCAAAAAATTATGTTAAAATAAGAGCAGAAAACTTAATGCCCAAGTCGGAAGAGAGAATATTTTTTCGGCTCAGCACGGTTTAAAGAATGAATATTCAATAAAAGTAAAAGGAGGTTGAAAAAAGAAGAGAAAAGCTAAATATTCACACAAACTGAAAGATCCGAACGTAATAAATGTATACAGGGTTGGAATAAAGTATACACCCAACTAAATATCTTTGAAACAAAAAGACATTATTCATGAAACTTCGCATGGAAGTGTATTAACTCATACATTCTTGCAGATTTTTAAAGAATCTCACCTTTAATCATGATTAAAATGCAAATATGCAGTCAGAATCATTTGAAACAACTCAAGGAGTTAGACAAGGAGGAAGTCTCAGCCCAGTGCTATACATAAATATAATAGATGAGATAGCGAAAGAATGTAAGAAAACGTTCGAGAAATACTGCATCGGTTGGAACAGAATGCAAATGATAAACGCTGAGATGTGTATAATTGCAGACGACATAGTATTAATTGCGGAAACAGCAGAAAAATTGAAATACAACTTAAAGAAATGGAACCTAGAAGCAAGCAAATACAACTTAAACGTAAACAAAGGGAAGACTCAGATAATAAAAATATCAAGGAAACAAGGGACGGAAGATCAACTAGAAATAATGATAGACCAACAAAAAATACTACAGACAAATTCATACAAATACTTAGGAACAGTAATCAACAACAAAGGAGACATCGAGGACTATCTTAACAACAGAATGGAAAACACAGGAAAACTATTCCAAGCACTAAATAGAGGATTCTTTAATAACAAAGAAATATCAACAAAGACCAAGATG